TTAAAATATCAATTTTATTAATTTTAAATAAAAATATTAATTTTTTATTTTTTATTTAAAAATTAATTAAATAGTGATATTAATATAGTAAATGGCAAGAACTTGGCAACTTTCAAAAAGAAGAAAGGACCATGCTTTGTATGTGGAAAATTGGGGCATATTGCTATGCAATGCTACCACAGTAAAGGTAAGAAAATTTGTGAAACAAATATCTTCACAGAGGATGATATGGTGGCTATATTCACTGAATTACTTGTTATAAACAATGAAGAGAATTGGTGGCTTGATTCAGGAGCAACATGTCATGTGACTCCATTTAAAAGTTCTTTCAAGATATATGAAGAGATGAATGGAGAAAAATCTGTCTTCATGGGAAATTCTTCCACATGTGCAGTTGTTGGTAAAGGGACAGTGAAACTTTCTTTGACTTATGGAAAAATTCTCACTTTGCAAGATGTGTATCATATTCTAGGTCTTAGGAAAAGTTTAATTTTTGTCAAAAAAACTTGATGATCATGGGTTTAAAGTTGTATTTGATTCCCAAAAAGTGATCATTTCTAAAAAATGATCCTTTGTCGGGAAAGGCTATGCCAAAGACAATATGTATGCTATTAGTATAAATAAAGATGCATCTAATTCTGCTTATATTGTTACTTCTAGTGATATTAATCATCTTTGGCATTTTAGATTAGGACATATAGGTGGCAATGCATTAAAGCGTATGATTTCTCATGAATATATTCCCAAATCTAGCTTTATTCTTAACATGAAAACATGTAAATGTTGTGCACAATCTAAAATTTCTAAACCATCTTTTAAATCTGTTATTAGAAATACATCTTTGTTGGATCTCATCCATACTGATTTATGTGATAACAAGGATAAATTGACTAGAGGTGGTAAACATTATTTTATAACATTTATTGATGATTTTTTTAAGTATACTTATGTTTATTTGCTTAGAACTAAGGATGAGACTTTAGAAAAATTTAAGATTTTTAAGCAAGAAATAGAGAATAAAACAAATAAAAAGATTAAAAGAATTAGATTAGAAAGAGGTGGTGAATTTAATTCTAATGAGTTTATTTCTTTTTTGTGAAGAACATGGTACTATTAGAGAATTTTCAGCCCCTAATTCACCTCCACAAAATGGAGTTGCTGAAAGGAAGAATAGAAGTTTGATGGAGATGATTAGTGCCATGTTAAATCACTCTAATTTGCCATTTAGTTTTTGGGGTGAGGCATTATTTACTGTATGTTATATTTCCAATAGAAATTTGCATAAAGGTAAGGATATGACACCATATGAATTATTAAATGGTAGGAAACCAAATATTGATTATTTTAAAATTTGGGGTTGCATTGCATATGTTTTAGATTCAACCATGAAGAGGCCTAAACTTGGTAGTAAGGCTATAAAATCAATTTTTATTGGTTATTCCTTGCATAGTGAAGCATATAGATTTCTTAATTTGAAGACTAATAGTGCTTTTGAGGTTGTACATGCAATTTATTTTGAGCATTTAACTATTAAAGATACTGATAGTTTGGAATTAGAAAAGGATTTATCAAATGAATTGGAATTTAATTTTTTTGCACACAATCAGCATGTGGAAGATGTTGGTACAACTATTTTGTCTTGTTCTAATTGTTTGAATAGTCAAAAGCTTGATAATAGTCACATGGTGATAACTTGCGTGAAAGTGCTTCCAACCAAAAAGGTGAAAACAATGCTAGTCACATGGGTCATTTGCATGAAAGGGTACCCAACCGAGGATATGAGAACAAAAAGGAGGAAGAACCGAAATTGAGAAGAAGTAAAAGAAGAAGGATAGAAAATGATCTTGGTCCTGGTATGTTTACATACTCTTTGGAAGAGGAGCCAAGAACTTTTAGTGAAGCCATGGCTTTACTAGATGCTTCTTTATGGAAGAGAGCCATGGATGATGAGATAAAATCTATTCATGATAATAATACATGGATTTTGGTTAATCTTCCTCCTAATACTAAACCTATTGGTTGCAAGTGGGTCTTGAGAAAGAAATTAAAGACAGATGGTAGCATTGATAAATATAAAGCAAGACTAGTAGCCAAATGTTTTAGTAAAAAAGAGGGATTGGATTATTTTGAGACGTTTTCACCAGTGTCTAGATTTACTTCTATTAGAATTATGTTTGTCATTTCATCCATTTATAATCTTGAGGTACATCAAATGGACGTGAAGATAGCATTTTTGAATGGAGAACTTGATGAGGAAATCTACATTCATCAACCCGAGAGATACATAGTGCAAGGTCAAGAGGATAAGGTATGTAAACTTAACAAGTCTCTTTATGGACTTAAGCAAGCACCTAGGCAATGGTATAAGAAATTGAAAAATGAGATTAGGAAGTTTGGTTTTAAATGTAGTAAAGTAGAAAGTTGTGTTTTTACCAAGGTTACTAGTAATTATAAAGTTCTTATTACACTTTATGTTGATGATTTATTAATTTTTGGTTCTAACACGCATTGTATTAATGAGACTAAAATTTATTTAACCCAAGTATTTGACATAAAGGATTTAGGTCCAGTAGATGTCATTTTAGGAGTTAAAGTTATTAAAAATGAAGGTAAATATATTTTAACTCAATCACATTATATTGAGAAATTATTAAGGAAATTTGATTATTTTGATTGTAAGCCTAATAAAGCTCCAATTGATCCACATGTTAAAGTAATTCCTAATCAAGGCGAACTTATTAATCAAAAGGAGTATGCTAAAATTATTGGTAATTTAATATATGCCATGAATCATACTAGGTCTGATATTGCATGTGCTGTTGGAATTTTGAGTAGATTTACTAGTAATTCTAGTATTGAGCATTGGAATGAGATTGGTAGAGTTATGAGATATTTGAAATATACTTTACATTTTGGCTTGCATTATAATTGCTTTACTTTTGTCTTAGAGTATTACAGTGATGCTAATTAAGCATCTGGTAAGAAAAATTCAAAATCAACAAGTGGATGGTTATTTACCATTGGTGGATCCATTGTTTCTTGGTCATCTAAAAGACAAAAGTGTGTGGCTTTGTCTTTTATAAAATCTAAGTATGTTGCCATGTCATTGGCATCAAAAGAAACTTTATGGTTAAGGAGATTTTTTCAAGGTATTCCTTTTATGGAAATATCAAGAGGATCCATCATATTATTTTGTGATAATCAAATTGTAATTCACAATGTTAGAAATGAAAAGTTATCTAATAATAGCATACACATTACTATAAGATATAATTATATAAGAAGCATGGTGAAAAAAGGGAGAGTAGAAGTAGAATATCTACCTACCGAGCAATGTTGGCTGACCCCTTCCTCCTCTTTTTGTCTAATGAGGTCGGTTTTAGCCTAGGTCTCCTCGTGTCTAGTGAAGTCTTCGGGATTTTTTTTTTTTAACTCAATTTGCTCCATCCTTCCTCCTCTTTTTGTCGTTGCTGGCAGTAATCTTTGACGTGTTTTTCAGGAGTAAAAAGTGTAAATAAAAATATTAATTTTTAATTTGTTTTATTTAAAAATATTATTTTTTAATTTTATTTATTTAAAAATATTAATTTTTAACATTGTTTATTTAAAAATATCAATTTTTAACATTCTAATAAAAAAATATGTTAATCATATTAATATTACTATCCAATTCATTCTTAAATAAAAAAAATTAAAAATTGATATTTTTAAATAGAAAAAATT